TGATTAGAATTCAGATGGAACATCAGATCCTAATAGCGCCGCTCGATCACGAAGAAGACGACCACGATCAACGATAAATAAGCCTTTTAAAATTTCTATTAGAATTGTAAATATTTTTCAGAAGAACCCGTGTATGTATCGCGTGAAAGCTGAAATCTGTGAATAATTCAATGAAAAAAACGACACAGAAGATCGATCTCACGAGGTTAAACGCGAGAAACTCGACGCGTGCACTTTCATGTTGGAAATCTTCAATCTTCCAAGTTTATACGCGACATTTATACGCGTGATTTCACGAATCTTTCACGGAGATATATCTCTGCCATGAAAGTGCAACTATTTGCAAGATAAGTTTAAGAGCAAATACATCGTTTCGTCGTTTCGTTTAAACACCCGCATCTGTTGTTGGAGAACAACAGGTGGACTCACATTCATTACGCCATTGGATACGGAAATGGAACGATGTTTCACGAGTCTTGCGAAATGTTCACGAAACTTTGTATATCGGTAATTCATTTGAACGAAGATAATTGTAGTGGACGATCTCGAGTAATTTGCACCGCTATTAATTAAGACAAGACTTAGAAACACATTAAAACACATTATTCTATTATACAGTAACGTGAGAATTGTCTATCTACTCGAATGGGCTAATCAATACACTTGAAAATTTTATGCGTAGTTACATGAGAGGTAAATGTAGCAAATAAAGCAATAAATTAGTCACCCATTAAATAAAATCAACCAGAATAGATGAGATATCTTGGTTCATTGTTATCGTGTCGCAATTTTTCTTACGTATAGATGACGTTTCTTTTAATAGGAAATGAAATATTATAACTCAATTTCAACAATGTAATTTCTATTTCTTATCCATTGTTTTTGAAAATTATACGTATTTGTTGAATTAGAGATTTTTTTTTTTTGTTATAGATGATATTTTATTATATTTGATACTTTTTTTAAAAATATTATATTTGATACTTTTTTTAAAAATATTTTACTTGAAAAAGAATAAGAATGTTTCGTTATTATATTTCATTTATTATATATTACGTATTACGTTTATTTATCAACCTTAATTCCTCTCTACCAACAATAAAATATGTTATATATCTATAAATAAATTCTTCATTTCAAGTTTTCAGATGAAACATTTCTAATAAAAGATACTTGAAATATCTCGTTTAATAACATTGGCATCATAGTAGAGATATTTCATGCATAGCATTGAATTTACTACATCGAGATATCTTGTCTTCGATAGAAAAATGAATAATAATGAAATAATAATAGAGTAATACTAACAATATATTAATTACTATTAATTCGTTTTAATTATTATATATATTTCACATCAGGATAAAAATAATCGATTTCAGCGGTTAAACGAAGAATAGTAATATATATATGAAGGATTGTAAATTTTAGATATGAAGATACTTTGAAATATAATAATATTTATACATTTTTCAAGATATAATAGAATTTAGAACAATAATTATACAATTGAATCTTACCTCAAATCCTCCCAATGAATTGCTCAAATTCATAATGAATAAAATTTAATGCAAGAATATCACACTTGAGAAATATATTTGGCAAAGTCTCGTATTAGAATAACAACAAATAAAGGTAGAATTGAGACGAAGTTTGTAAGAATCGTGGATCATATTCGAGAAACAAGCACGGATTATCTATAGACGATATTTGGAATAACAACAGGGGATCAAATAATTCCCAATAAACATAGAAATAATAAATAGAAATAATTCGAATAATTTCCAAAAATATATTTTTACTTAATTAAACTAGAATTTACATTGAAATTTTTATTAATTTATACTTTTTTTGATAATAGTTAAGTTAATTTCTTTATAAAATATTTTATTTTAAAAAAATCTATTTATATTAAATCAAAAAGAAACTTAAATTGAAAATTTCTATCCAATAAATGAAAATATTTTTTTAATAAAAATTCAAATAAAATATATATAAGAAAAATATTTTTGTAACAACATTTCTTTTTCTAATTAAATTTTTTTTCTCTCTGGAATATAATAATTTTCTCTCTCTATAAAGATATTAATAACTTGATAACTCAATACTAATGCAATTTCCTTGCAAAAATTTATTTTTTTTCTTCTAAAAGTAAGAAATTGACATCTATTTTAAAGATAAAATAATTTCAAAACAATTTTTTTCAATAAATAAACTAAAAAGTTTTATCTATAAACACGTTAGCAAATTTATTCAAAAAATAAAGCAGAATAGTAAAGAAAAATTGAAGAATATCACTTATCAATGTGTGGATTCGCTTTAACGTTGAATGAAAAAATAAACTCGACGCAATTATGCAGATATAAATTACGTCTTAGCGAATTGCATATCTTACTAGTATGATACAATGATTGATACGCAATAAGAACTTTATTGGAAAGGGTTGGCAATAAGATCCGGAATAGCAGGATGTCGCGTAGTTAAATTACTAAGTTATTGGATATCTTCGATCGATTACTTTCACGTCCAAAATATTGGATAAAGCAAACTATCTTCAAGATATATAATATCTTGAAATTTTCGAAGAGAATTTTAAATTATAATTAAGAAATTTAAAATACATTTGTAATCGTTGATTATAAAAAAAAAATATTTAATTACAATTAATAAAAATTTCTAATGAATACATGAAATATTTAATTATATGATATATAAAACTATATAATTATATACAGATATGTTTTTGCTTTGGTAATTGAGACATCTCATTATATCAAATTAATTAAATTATTGATAAAATTTTGAAAATATATAAATACTTTCAATAATTTAATATTATATAATTTTATATTAATATTTAAACCTAATATATATATAATTTATTTAATTAATTATAAGATAAAATAATTAAAATATTCAAATTTAAATTATGTAATTGATGTAATTGTAATTACACAATTAAAATCCGAAAAAAATTGATTTGAAATTTTAACTATTTCATATCTAATGATGAAATATTATAATAATTTATATTTTGATGTAATACGCTTTCTTTTCGTTATAAATATTTCCATGTATATTAAAAATTCAATGTTAAATTTCTAACAATTTTGCAAAAAATAAAATTAACATATAAATATTCTTATAAGTAAAATAAAATATCTAAATAAAGATTTTTATTTAAAGAAAAATATATTTTATTTAAAAAAAATTATTTCTAAAATGAAATGAAATTTTTAAATTAAAAAAATAAATTTAATTTCTTTTCAAATAAATTTATTTTATTAATAATTTTATTTTATTATTTATTTTATTATCTTTCTTTGAATTATTAAAATAATTACTAAATTATCTTAAATAAATTAATCTACATAAGAATATATTTTCTATTATCATAATTAAGATGTATTTTTTAGAATAAAATAATGTTTTTTTCGAAATAATTAGACCGAATAAATGAAAATTTTTGTTAGAATTAAACGTTTTTGGTAACAAAACGAAGGATTCATAATAAAATTTCTCTATATCGCGATAATTAAATTTTAATTAAAACCTCAACGCCAGCTGGAGCAAATAGAAAATTAAATTTCAAAGATAATCGTTTAAATTATATGTCACTGTAGAACGAATTAGATTAATACAAATATATTATATATATCATTAATGAAAATTTCTGTTTACTTTCGAATATTATGAAACAAACAAAAAATACATAACGAAGAAAGAAGTGATTCAACGCGATGTTATATTGCGATGTATGAAACACAAGCTAAGGTCAAATTAACGCGCCCATGAAAACGGACAACCATGACATTCGAACATGATACCCTATTGCACGAAAGCGAGAACTTCGGCGAAACGTATTCTAACCTAACGAACATATACGCACAATCGACATACGATGTTTGATTTGTCGTTTTTTCGTTCGCACCTAACCATCTACTATTATAACGTCGCAATAATTCTTTCATGATACAATATCGATAAATCCAGACCAAAATTTTTAATTATTCTTTCATCCTCTATCGAATTGTTTTTATTTACATATCAAGTTAAATTATCGAACATAAACAAATGAGAAAAAAGAGAAAATCGCAGGGATTAGAATAATATCGATTGAATACCGGCGAGATAAAACTACTGTGAACATTGAAATCAAGATTATGATGCACGTTCCGTGATCTGTCACATCCGATTGACAGGTAGCATCCTACAATAGACAGTGCGCGCCACGCAGCCCCAACCTGACACGCATCTCGAATAACCTATGATGCGTATGTTATAAAAGAAACACGTTAATCCGATACAAGGTCAAAACAATACGCGAAGATTGATGGCCTTGAGGCAAGGGTGCGAAGAGAAAAATGCGAGTGATTGTGGAAAAAAGGGCGTGTGAATGTCCGTCGAGTGTCTGGCGTCCACAATGACACGAAGTAACAACGCCAGTATCATATGAAATATGAAAGTTGTTCAAGAATTTAATATTATTTATTGGTTACCTGGGTATACAGTTCGGTGCAGTACAATCCACTTCCCAAGTGGCAAACAGCTTCATAGGAACGGGCCGGGTGGCCGGGGCTGTCGTCTTCGTACGCTCCGCCATTTTTGGCCCGTCGGCCCACAGAAACACTCACCACACCTTCAGTTCACCGCGGCTCGCGGCTGACTGACTGAGTAATCTCGCTCGTGGCGCCATACGAAGACAGTTTCGTGAGTCGACGAAGAATTACGGAAAAGTATGAAGACACCTTTCGGAAAATAACGGAAGTAAACGAGCACGGATTATGTATCCGCTATGGAATCATTCGCGAAGCAATTTTACAGTCGGTAATATTTTTCGAATGCATTCTATAATTCTATATTTTAATCAATATAAAATTGTACAAAATTGGTAAAAAACTAGCAAAAAATCTTGACACAATTTACGATTATTATAGATTTTTTTTGTTTGTACATAAAAGTTACAGTATAGCAAAGATAATACAAGAAAAAATAGGTTCATTTAATGAATAATGAATAATCTTTTGAAGAAATTTTTATTATAAAAATGCACATATGATGTGAATAATCAAATAAATATACACATTTCGTTTTCTTCAAACGTATTTCAATTTATGTAATTACCAATTAAAGCAAGTGATATGATAACCACCACATTAGTATAGGTTGAATGCCTGCTACAAATAGTATAAAATAGAGTCTCCTTTTATTACCAGAAGCTGTGTATGCGCCCTGGTTTTGTGGAATGACCTTTAATTTTAATGACCGTATAAGAAAAAATGCTAAAGATATACTGGTATATAGCCAAACTATATAATAACCAAATTTTCGAAATAATAATGAAACCAAAAGAGCTGCATTAATACCAACATACTTATAACCACAGTAAGCTAATATATCTAATGTTGAAAGACTTGTTTCGAGATTCATCACATAAAGGCTTACAATGTGTACAACTAATTCTATGACATCCCACGCAAGAGCAGAACTAGCCAAAATACTTAACTGTTCTGGATTAAAACGTTGCTGAGTTCCTGAAACTATTCCAGCCAGAACTATATATGTTAAGAATGCCATAGTTGGAATATATAGATCTGGTGCATTCTTTTCATAACGTGGTTGTTGTGGTACTTCTTGTTCGTACTTCACAGACCAGTCCTGTTAAAAATAATTAATTATTTATATTTGTTTAACAATAATTAAACTTATTTCCTATATTTAACAAAACTTACTTTATGAGTAAAAGGAAAAAATAATAAAGACAGTTTTGACATAACATAATCTGTATCAACAGCAAAATAATATTTCAAAGCTGTAACTGGCACATATCTTTCAAAATGTTGTTTTCCAGAACCAACTAAAGTATTTCCATATTGCACAGCCATATTTGTAACTATTGGTTGTGTTAATAATTGTGTTGCAAATTGTGATGAATAATCATCGCCATGACCTTCAGGAGATGAATAATGTTGCATTGGTACTGTATTAAATCCATATGGCGGAGGCTGTTGTTCTGGTACATTGAAACCATATTCTGGTATCATACCATTATCCATAGGAATCTATAAAATTCATAGAAACATGATTTTTCATAACATATATTAATTTATGTTTTTTTTTTTATATTTATTAAATTTTACCTGTTGATTATACATATATGGATTTTGAGGTATTGATGGTGGTGGAGATAAACCAGCAGATGGATCAAGTAATCTTTTTGGTTTTCCTATTAAATGTTTTTTATTTAAATCATTTTATATAATAATGTATTATAATAAAATATTATAACTTATATTCAATATGGAAATTAGAAATAATACTTATTAAATAAATTAATTTGTAATCTTAGGAATCATAACCTCTATATAATATTGCACGATATTACATGCACGATATATTTTAATATATACTAATAAATACAAAATATGTTAACAAATATATGTATAATTTCTTATCAAAGTAAATGATAAATATCAAATCTAAGCTATAATTGAGAAAAAAATTAAAAAAATTATATTCATGGATTAACTTACCTCGTCGTGAACTGGAATTATTATAATTCATGATTTTCTAATTAAATTTCTTAAACTGTATTAGAAAACACAAAATAACAAAGGAAGTTTTATTGCTTTCGGGCTCAAACCCAATTATTTTCAAGAAGAATATCAAAAACAATTCATGTTACACGTCGCCATAGCCCATCAATCGTTGCGAATTCTCCCACTCCAAGAACTTACAATTAAATACGTTATGATGTTGTCATTTACTATCATACATTAAATTATTATAATTAATTTATTTATCTATTACATTGATAATTATAATTTAATTACTTATTTACATTTTAAATTTTTATTTAATTTAAATTTATTATTTAAAAATTTTTTATAAAAATCCTTATTTTAAATTATTTCATACAATTAATTCATTAATTGTATTTATTAGAAAAATAAATTAAATAAAAAATATATGCTGATATATATTATATTTTATAAAATATGTAATAAAAATAGCTTATAAGATAAATATTACATATATATATACGTATATAATACGTTTATATACGTAAATATACATTTTTAAATGTATTCTCAAAAATAATTACTATAAATTAAAAAAACGATACATAAGATATTTATATATTCGTAAAATACTTTTGGAGAATTGATTTTAAAGAATTTCAATAAAAATAATATATAAAATAATATATAAAAATATTGAAATTTATTTATTATTAAGTTATTAAGTTATAAGCAATTTAAATTCACATTAGACAGAAATAAAATAGATTTATATCTTATTAACTTAATAAATAAGTCTTTTTGTACATCAATTTTCAATTTTTTGTAGTACAAAATAGATTTTTTTCTAGAATAAACCTTTCAAAAATATTCCACAAATATATTATTAACATTTGAATACGTGTTACAATGTATTTATAGTTACATATATAGTAATAATATTACATATGTATGATATTAATGTAATAATATTAAAATATATTTACGTTCACAACAAAATATAAAAATCAAATATATTTGTATTATAATATAAATATTAATATTTAAAAAAAATTAGATTTGAATAAGAAAAAAAATTATTGTTAGGGGGCACCCGGGTTTGAACCGGGGACCTCTCGATCTGCAGTCGAATGCTCTACCACTGAGCTATACCCCCTGTTAAAGTTTAGTTTCTAGCAATAAAATTTAAAGTAAATTTTATATAGAAATTTTTTATTTATTTATAAAACTTTTTAATATATTACTTTTTTAAATACAATATTAAGTTATTTCTTATTAAATGCTTTAAAAATAAAATAAATTTATGTTTATTTTTAATTTAATAAGAAACAAATATCATTTTTATTAAAATATTTATAATACGATTTTTTTATTAAAATCCCATTTTTATTAAGCATATAAATTGTATAATATATAATATGAAATCCTTTATATTAACATATCATGTTAACATAATAATATGAATTATAAAAGATATTTATTTACAATTATATTAATTGTTTTTACTATACTATCTTATTCTATACTATTTTTTTTTATAATTTCAAATTGCATTATGATTTGATTAAAAATTAATTGTTATTATATTTTCATTTTTAATTTATGTTTTTATTTTATATTTTATTTATATTATATTTATATTATATTTATATAATTTCCATCGTTAAAAATGTTATCAAAAATTAAAATAAGAAAAATATATTAAAATTAAAAAATACTAAAATTTACTTGTGAAAAAATAAATATTTCTACTTTTGTTGATACGTTACTGAGAAAATGGTAACTAGGCAACACTTACATTAACTAGTTGCGGCATCAAAGAGATGTCAGTGCGCGTCCCACCCTCGTGTGGTGCGCTTCATAATTTTTTACACGTAAATATAAACCTCGTGTACAAGATTAATAATATATATTTCAAGAATATATCTCGCGATGGAAGATATTCAAAAACTAGCAGCACAATTTGTCAGAAAGTAAGCTTCAAATCAAATAACACTTTTCCATGTTATACACTTTTTTAGCATTATGTATTGAATTCAAATCATTAAAGCTTACAATGAAACACGTGTAATGTTTGCATTAAACATGATTGTCTCCTTTCTTGTTTTAATATATTATTTTAATAGGATAATTTTATAAATTTTCTTATACTCATTATGGAAATATTTTTTTTTTATGTATTAAGAAATAGAGATAAAAAGACAATATATATAATTTGTAATGAAACAGTTGTTATTATATTAACAGATATAATTATTAATTAAGAGACAACTGTTTGCTGTTTAATAAATATATATTTTTTAACAATATAAAATAACATTATAAAATTATATAAATGATATTTAATGTAAAATAAGAATTTATATTAAAAAATTAATACAAAAACAATTATTTAATTATAATTATATCCTAATAATTATAATATATAGTTATATTTAAATCATGCATTTTTAATTTCATTAAATCATATATTATACGAAAAAATATCTCAATTTTCTCAAATATTTTTTTCAAAAATAATATTTCATTAATTATATAAATTAAAAATAATCAGATTTTCTTCCAAATCACAATACATGTTAACCAAATCTTGAATAACATACATATTTATCAATGAAATACGCTTACGATACGACGCTTATCTCAAAAAGAGCTATTCGATTTACTTTAAACACGCTAATACTACTCACTGTCTAGCAATTCGCTTTCATTAAATTTTCTTAAATGAGCATGAATATATGATGCACACAATGAAGGGAACGATCAACATCATCAAAAGATAATTCGATCTCTGGACTTTCTTTCTTATTTCAACTCGATTTTTATAGTTATTCAAATCACTGCGATTCCTTTCACGTTCTGCTTCTGATCGACGATCCCGAATGATCGATCATCAATAAATAACATATAACAAATCAAACATTCTCGCGTTGTTACTGCGCAGCACACGTAATCTCACGTGAAACCGGAGATGTTATCATTAAATATTAACGACGCGCCATCACGAAGGAACGAAGGCCTCCGCGAATTATTAACGGAGCAATAACGATCGACGTACAGCACGATGAATCAACGAAATAACGATTTTCAGTCATCGCCGCGTTACAGCAACACGTGCACGTGGGTTCGTTGTACGTGTGCATTGTGCATAAATATCATCAAATGTTCGCACTTCATCATCACTTAAATCATCATCATCACGTTGATGTATGAATAAAAACATTCTTGAAATTTAATTTGGAATGCACTTTCTTTCAAATCTCAGCTATTATCGTTGTAAGAATGTCATGTTTCTTATATCTACTTCCTACATTTGTAACGATGATAGCTATGCTTCCGGTAAGACGATGCTTTGTGGTGATTTATTTTTTATAGATAAGAGAATGAATCGTGTCGTGAAAAGCGAATAAATTATTCTATTCTGTCATGAACAATTATTATTATCGTTATGATTTAATTAAAAAGTTCGATATGCTACAACTAAAGTGTTATCAAGTGCTTTTTATTTTCAGAAATATTTAAAAAAAGTTTTCTTTATAATTTCTTTATAATAATTATTAAAAATTAATTTAAATAGAAATACATTTTTGTCATCTTTTTCTTTATTTTGAAAATTAGTATGTTGTAGCGATTTATTCAATGTTAAATATTCAGGAGAGTAAAAAATCGTGACGATAATTATTCCAAGTTACAAATTCTTACAGTTGACGTGCCATAAAGAATACATTATAATGTAATATGATATCTTATAGTATCTTTTCAAATATATTAAGAAAAGTTTTCTCATAAATACTTAGCCTTTATCGGATTAATTCAAATTGAATCGCATTAGAATTGGTGCATAATTTTCAGAAAAGATAGATCTTTAAAACGATTTGAAAACCTCTATCGATTTTTCCATACTGTTATACATATTATAAACTGGCTAGTTCCACGATAGCGTGACACGTGACGGGAAACCTAAGAACGTAGACACTGCTGTTTAAGAACGGTAACACCGTTCACAGGTACAAAGAAAATTGTTTCGATGATGCATACATTATGGAACAATTTTCTGCATTTCAACAGATTTCAATTTGATTAAATGTGAGAGAGCAAATTTGTCATAGCTAGAAATAATTTGACGAAAATAAATAAGAGAGAATGTTAAAAACAAAGTTAAGAAATTTAAAATCTCATATATTACAAACTATGTGTTAAAGTTTCGATTTTCAATGATTCATATTCTACAAGAGTTAAGTTATTAAGCTTGTGATTCTAATCACAGGTTCTGTATCGGTAATTCGATCGCAATTTGTAATTTTCATAGTCCACTCAAATTAGACTCCCTTATTTCACGGTGAGCCTCAAGGACACTTGTCGACATGGCCGATAGAAGTAATTTGGTTTGGTGCTATTGTGCTAGGCATGCACATAGCTGTCCGCCTCTAATTTCTTATCAAACTTCTTTTCCCTTGAAAATCAATCGATTTATATCGCTCTATTTTTCGTGAGCACATATTCTCCCTCACCTGTACGCCAAACTTTCAAACTCGTCATCTCTTATTCATTACTTCTTCGAATCTTATATCATTAAGAGAGAAAGAATTTCTTGTTTCATGCAATCGTGAAGAAAATAAGCATTATTTATATTGTTGGATATTGAACAAAAACATCAATTAAAATTTTAAATTTTAATATTGATTATAATATTAATTTCACGTGAAAAATGTGATTACTATACGATAAAGTAAGAAAAATTAAATTACTTTTTTCTTTTTCTTCCCTCATTTCTACATAATTTCACAAAAAAATAAAATCTTGTAAATCTTGTAAAAAATAAGATTATTTGAATTTTTCTTTGTAGTTTTTTATAAATAATATCAGATGTTTTATCAAACTAATTGTTGATAACTTTTGATTAGTACAATTATCATGAGTTTCGATTACATTAATCTTAAAGACAATGATACACGATAAAAACGAAAATTAAAGATAAGTCGACCTTGCCATGAAACCCGGCATAATGGTTCTCGAAGAATGATAGGTGTTGTGGCGTTAGGTTTCTATGGCAGCGAGTGACCTGGTCAGTCCACCACGTGGTCAGTAACCGAGCTTTAAATTCGGGTCGAGTTTAATGATAAACTTCTGATGAGATCTGCAATCGTATCAGTTCTTTCTCGGGAATGAGGGCTTGGTGTCAAT